AAAAAAAAAAAAAAAAAAAAAGCATTAAAAAAACATCAGAATTGTTATCCATACTTCTAGGACGATAAGTCAGGGCACGGCTAATCCACAGATAAATATGCGCGGGGAAAATTAGGGAGCAAGAACAATGTCAAAACATATATTTCAGCTTAAGACAACTACTTGTTTGAGGCCGGTTTATAGTTAGCCATACCCTGACTTCAGTCCAGCTGTTTCAGGTTATTCATCGATAAAATATATATTCAGGGGCTTACAAAACTTTCCCCATTCATGATTTTTCTTAAAATCAATGTTAAAATAATTCCCAATGGCAAAGTCTATATTTTAGCTAAGTATATAAAATATTTATCTAGCAGTTTTAACTCAAAGTATTTTTGCCATATCTGAAATACAGGCTTAATTCTCAAGTACTTTGTCAAACTTTGTCATACCTTTAAAGATATTTAAAGAAGTATTCTTTAGTCTATCAAGCGGMGTGGAAATATTAAAGTAAGCTGAATGCGCGAGAAAATTCGACGTTCAACCCTCGTGTCTTTGAAGGACCTCAAGAAAGCGGGTGAGATTGAAGCCCGAAATTCCTTTGAATAAGACACTTATTTCTTCCTTTCAACCGTAAAACATTTCAACGTACCATTATCTATAATATTTAGCACTATAGAACCTAATACAGCAATAAAATGAGAGTTTTTCTTACCTTTTTTTAGTCGTCTTTACATCGTTGTTCAAGTTTCACATTCAACTCGAGGGACATTTGAGGTGATTTGAATTTTCGCGGTAATAATTTACTAACAAGGGGAGAGGGGATAGTAGATATCGTTCCTAAGTTTAAGCGCGATAAAATGTATTGCTTTTTTCACCCCAAAATACATCTTTAAAATATGTATAGACCCACATCTCAGTAGAGGATGTAATTTAAAAGCAAACTTTATCTTTTTTACTTTTTAAATACGCTTTAATACTTTTTATACTTAGTAGGGTAGGGAGGGGAACAGTGTGTACATAAGATCGAGGGTTGGCTAATGGTAACTAAGTGATCAAAATGGCTGCCAAAATACTTTCAAATGGTTCTTCGAAAACCAAATAATCAGCCCTCATGCCGGATCCATAACAATCTAGCCCATTATGGAAGGAATATTCGAAATTTCCTCCTCAGAGAAGGTAAAGACGTTAGAAGAAGACCTGAAGAAGGAGTTAAAGGAGCTTCAAAATGAAGTTGAAGACGGCAATTTTTTAAGCACCGGTCCCATGAAAGCTTCTGGGTGAGTTTGTTTACGCTCTAAAATTATTCATTGCTTTGATTTCCGAAAAAAAACTACTTTCTTAATTCTAGCCGTAAGTATGTGTTTTCCTTCGAGTCAATTCTTGGCGAAAACATCTAAAGTTATTTTTTRATAGAGAAATCTTTCCGGCCAGATGATAGTGTATTGTACTGGATTGTATTGTTGCTAGGCCGAAGCGTTTACAATTATTTTCGAGATTCCTTGCTGTGCTACTTAAAAATCAATTCGAAATCATAGAAACCGGTTCCATACAGAGCTAAAAAAGAAAAACATAAACGATCGTGACTCCAATAAGTTAGATATTTATAAAATTGAGTGGTTTTATTGCTATAGACTTGTGAATATTGTAACTGTCGACTGATATGATTTTGCGTTCGCTTCGGAAGTCAGACGACTATAATCACTTTTAATTACGTGACGAAATACTCAATATACAGCTTTACCCTTAAAAAAGGCTACTTAAAACGAATATTATTTCTTTTTTATCCATTATTTATTTGAATTACGGTAACTTTGACTTTTTTGTCTAARGTTATCTGAATATTTTTACAACTGTTCAGTATGTATTTCAAGTCTATTGTTTCCAAGACGCGTATCTTATTTTCTTTTTCTAAATATAATAATTTATCCTTTTATGAATTGTTATTAGTTCGATTCCTCTGCCTAAAGATGTKGAACATTTCAAAAGGGAAAGAAAGTTGGCGATCACTAAGAGTCTACAGGTAAATAAAAACGTAGTCGTACATTTATAATTGCATACTYGTCAATGTTTATAGCTGTCAGTAATGATGTGTAGATGCTGTTCTTCTTGTAAATAAATTATAAAATTTGACGTAATGTACTTAATGTATTAATAAAATATTCAGCTAAAAAA